GCATGAGGATGCTGTCTCTGCCTTTTTAGTTTGTACAGTAGTTTTAACTTCTAGTTTTAATTTTAACGTTTTGTAGTTTTTAGCTTGTATATTTGTTCTAAAATTTTATAGTTTTTTACTTGTAACACTGCCTAGACTCACTTGTACAGTGAGATGGGCGGCATATATAAATTTCATGAATAAATAAATAAACATTACCGCATTGAAATCTGCATTGAAATAATACAATGTATAATGATTCACAACATGACAATAAAAAAAACTTTTAAAAAAAGATAGGAATTATACCACATCGTATCTGGAGGGCACAAGGTTGTAGGAGGTGACCAGTTCTGACTAATCTATCTTTTGAAAAGACTTAGGACTGAGCCCTTTAATTTGAGATTCCAGAAACTAAGCCTCAGCCACTGGGCTATGGTATATATTAGAACTCCAATTATCAGCCATGCACGGAAACAGTATTAATTACACATCCAGTATTATAATTCTGTTGGCGTTAATTAAAGGAAAGGATTGTGTCCATAGTCAATCTCACAGTTGACAGCTGCTGATGATTGTGGAATCAAATGATGCCTTCTATGTAACATCATCTGCCAAATGTTATCTTATCCAAAATGAAAACAAGTGATATATGCCAATACGAGTAAACTTCGCCTGTGGATAAGATAGAATTCATCTACTTGCTGTAGTTTTCTACTGTATATGTATACTTCGCAATTGTTCAGCCAATATTCCCTGTGAAACATAGCTACCTTGGCTTTACATTAGTATTCAGGTCCATACTCCGCGTTGCATCATACAATCAGTCTAACATTAGCTGCCAATCATTCAGGTTTTCAATCAACATCATGGCATTATCTAAAGTAACACACATTCACATCCTTGACCAACACACGTCTCTTGTCACCACAAATATTCCTTATACGTTTATCCATAAATACATTAAACAATTAGGGAACCATCATGCATTCTTGTCTTACTCCCTACTCAGTGATGAATAATTTGCTATGCATTCTATTTATTCTCATGCATGCTATATTTCCATCATATATCATTCCTACTGTTTTCTACAACAAACCTTCAACTTCTGTTTGCTACAAATGTTACATATAACTCAATATCTTCTTTTTCTAAATCATCAAATACACAATAAGCTTTCTCCCATCCATACATTTCTCAGTGATCAAGAACAAAAATCTAGGCTGCAGAAATGTGCAGAAATAAATAATGCAGAAAATAGAAGCCAATGACCTCACTTGTTATGGGGCAATTTAGGAAAGATCAGCGTCTACAGACTTTGCAAATATGATCTAATGTCTGCATTATAATACAGGACATAGGATATTTATGTCTAAATATCAAATGAACAAGTGTACTATAAACGGAGGAAACAGCCTGGACAAAGGTAAGAAAACTTCCTTCTTAGAGATATGTCAAAGATTCTCCTAGCACCAGAATTTCTGAATGCACACATTCATGTTAATTCAGATTCTCAAACAGCGCCTGGTGTCCAGCAGATTTTGCCCATCCCCTGGGGATGATGGGAATAGTATTCAAACATATCTGGAGAATATCAGCTTAAGGAAAGCAGAACTAGTGTCTGGTTCATTGCTTTTTTCACCTGAAAACTTTAAAAGTGCTCTTCTATTTTCAGCATGTACCTATGAAGTTATCTCAATACTCACTACACAGTTCAGGCACCATTCGGTTTGTGCTTGGTCTAGATTTCCACTTCTAACGCAGTGAAAACAGAAGGCTTGCAACTGTGGCTGAAGCAAGAGGTCAAACACCGCATCTGTTTAAAATTTCCAGGCTTTATTCTGATAAGCATTTCCTGATTCATTGTCAATCTAAGCTAAATTGGCACTGGAAACTATCATAAAGACAAATAACTTCCATCCGGTGTAGTTCACGTGAACGTGGCTGAAACATCCTATTCCTTCTAGGCCTTTGACATTTTTAGGCAGGTACAGGGAACTTGAAGGTAATGGAGATTTACTGCAAAAAGATATACTGTAGTATTATTGGAAATAGGCTAGAGGGGGAGACCCCTTGAAGGAATTTTCTGAATGGTTATCTCTCACTCAGAGAAAAAATACTGCCTATGTAATGTTTGTAATTAGAGAAGCATTGCCAAATAAAATGGGTTCTGAATTTTCCATAACAATGCTTACATATTCCCAGAGAAACTACTGTTAAATTCAGTGGTTTCCTACTACCCCTCCTCCCCCCATAGTATTATTTGATCAGAGGATTTAGGGAATCTATAATGATGCTACACATGGTTAAAATTTTGGTCGTTTCCATTAGCATTCACATAAAGCAAGAGCTTCCAATTTTTTTCCTAGCAAAAAAAGGCTAAAAACCTCCCATGCTTTAAGAAACCTGCTGGAGACACTGCCTAGATTGGCACTAGCACGTAAGTTTACTAGTTTGTTATCCTGCCTGGAGGCCTCTGTAATGAAAAGCCATATATAATACGTGGGATGTCAGCTTTACCCCTTATCATTAGTTTTGCCTTCAACTACCTCCTGGCTACTCATTTTTATTAGTAGCCACTCTGGTTATTTAGTTGGCTTTAAAGACCCATTTTACAATGAAACAGACTTCAGTATAATACTGAACTGGCATATTAAGAATACAGTCTTCTAATACAGTCAGTTCAAATAAAAAATCCGCAGTTGAAAAGATTAGTACAAACGCCTTCAGCTTTTATGATTTTTTGTGGCAAATTATTGGGAAGCACTGAAATATTTACTACAGTCACAATATTGTACTTCATGTAAAACCAGAAGGTCAGAGAACATTTCTATTTAAGCAAAAACACCAACAGACTCCCAATAGGAAGCTTCCTATTGGTTGGAACTATATAGATCAGGAATTTAAATGGGGATACCTGGCTTGGCGATAATATGTGTGAAAAAGATCTTGTCACAGTAGCTGATTATAAACTGAATGATAATCAGCAGTGTGATGTGACTGCAAAAAAGGCAAATGCAATTTAGGCTGAATCAGCAAGGTATAATTTCCAAATCAGAGGAGCCAATAGTTCTATTTTATCCTGGTCACCCTTCACCTTAAATTTTGTGTCCAGTTCTGGGCTCCATACATTAAGAAGAATTCAGATGAACTGAAACAGGTTGCAAGAAGAGCAACGAGGATAATCGGGACTAGAAAGAACCCGTCATCTGAAGAGAGACGGATTCTTGTACTCATGGAAGGTTGGACTCAAATGGCCCCTTCCAATTTTACAATTTCATGGAACCAAAAATGTTCTAAAAATCTCCTTTCTTCAAGGAAATCTCATATGACTTAAGTGAGACCCAAGGCTCTGCTCAAGCAGGTAAAATATAATTAGCTGAATTAGATTTATTTTACTGCAGGCCGATAGGGATGACTTGGTACCTTCTCATTCTTTCCCCGCTTTTCCAAAATTAATTTCTTTTTGCCCATCAGGCTATAATGCTTTTAAAGGATACTTCTTTTTAATTAAACCTTTCCCATATGTTAAGCTTTGTCCAATTTGACTTAGCGGATATCCAGTCCACTACTTAATAAAATAATCCACTGGCTTAAAGTTTTGCCAGCACTTGGGAAACAAGAATGCCCTGCAGTTCATGGTACCTGGCTAATATTTTCTAGGTTTGGAAGCAAAGTAGGATCAGGCCTACAGAGTACAGTGGTACCTCTAGTTACGAACACCCCTCCTTACGAATTTTTCGAGATACGACCAGCTCCGGCCCCAAAAATTTACCTCGTGTTGCGAACCACCTCGAGTTACGAACCGGATCTGCGGCCATTTTCCACCCATTCCACGTGGTCCGTGGCCATTTTCCGCCCATTTCACGTGGTCTGCGGCCATTTTCCCACCCATTCCATGTGATCTGCGGCCATTTTTCCGCCCTGCTGCGTGGTCCGTGGCCGGTTTTTCACCCGACTCGTCCGCGGCTGGTTTTTCGCCCCTGACACGTGGTCCGCAGGCCATTTTTCCGCCCCTGACACGTGGTCTGCGGCCATTTTTCCGCCCCTGACTCTCCCTC